TGAGGGAAGCACTGATCCGTTTGAGGTATGAGTCACTCGTTTATCAATTCTCTTTGTTAAAATATCAGTGGTTGGACCACTTTTTGGCCTGTCTTTATCGTTTTTGCTCAATCTTGCCATGTTTGTTCTCTCTATCATTTAAGAGTCAAGCTGCGATGTTCCTTCACCAATGTAAGCACATGTTAAATGCGCTTACATTGTGTCATCGCTTGTAGGTGACTGGCATTGACCTCTTGTGTGTCATTTTTTACTAACTCGAACAGTACCCCTGTCCTTTTAGATACACTGGATAGACCCTTATGAGAGTAGCTCTAACCATCTGTTTATTAGTAATCGATCATTATTCATAATCAAAACACAAGATAGCGACGGGGCCCAAATTGCTAGTAGGATTACTTTACCCCTTTCAGCGATATCTCAGCCACATAAGCTGTGACATTCTCGTATACCTATTGGTAGATAAGCATTATTTGTACGCTAATCTCTCGCGCACTTCTATTTTGCAAGTGTGCTCAATACATCTCGTTCCAATCAGATTCAATTTAAACTGTTTTCAAGGTTTTTGCCGAATCGGCTAGACGAATGGGTGTTAAGTTATGGATTGACAATTTGAAGCATCATGGTTTTTACATTGATGAAAGTTTGGAGGTTGATGATCGACGAAAGGCAGTGAGTTCTCGTACTTCCAGTTTTTTTTTGAAGTTTAAAAGATCTTTTCCCTCTATAAATTCTTCCTTTAACGATGTTACCTGTTTAGTTACGCTATCTTCTTACTGACCTCCTTGCGGATGGTCAAAACCTTCCGATTCCATCGCAAACTGTGAGACCTTGGGTGCCGGAACCTCAGCTTTGGGGAGTGGATAAGTGGGCTATTTTCAGAGTACATTTTTCCTCGAACAAACTCAACCACTCCTTTTTTTTTAGAATCTACATGATAAACCTAAAACGCCGGCCAGAGAGAAGAAGAAGAATGGAGAAGATTTTTGAAGTACTAGGTAAGCTATAACCTACATCAAATTGCTGATTTTCTATGCCATAGCACAACTTTCTGCTTCTCTTCTAAGATCCGCGACTTTGAGCTATGTGGACAGTCACTCTTCTCATTTACATTAATTAACAGAAAGTACAGCATGTGCATCTCAAAATACTTGCTTAGGTGTTGACGCCACATACTGGGAAGCTACTGACGGTCACAAGTTGCCTGGCGAATTCATTTACGAGCTTCTGCCTGGATATCTCGACCCATTCCATAAAAGGCCTATGAAAGCTGGCGAAATCGGATGTTTTCTCAG